CCTTTAAGTTTTTTGCTGTCTTGTGTTTCTTCATCTCTCACAATTTTCTTTTTAGGTGTTCTGTCTTTTTTTATTGCTACTTTGTTTTTTCTTAATCTTTTCTTTTCTTGGTATGGGCTATTTCTAATTCTTCTAGGACAGGTGTGCTTGTAAGTATTTTCGAACACTGTTTCTTTCGATTATTCCTTTTAACTCTTTTGATAACTTTTTTTGTTGGTAAGAAAAGAGTTGTTTGGATGTACTTGGCAGAAGATTTTCGTAATCAACCAAAGCATTTGGTCCTGTTCCGGTATCAGGTAACGAAACGTTAGCATTTGGTCCAGTATCAGGTAATGACACTTTAGCATTTATGGATAAGTTAGGATCATCTTCATCGCAATCTGGTACTAGATTGGAAGGCGCAAAATTATCAATATAAATTCCTGAAGTACGAAACCCTGAAGCGGCTTTCTCTATTGTTGCAACTTTCATAAATGCAGTGTTTAATAATTCAGCGAGTGTTAGTTTTTGATGACCAGAAGAGGACAAATAAAGATCGTATTCTCTATAGAGAGCGTTCTTTAGTGGACTAAAAAATGTTAAATCTAATGTCTGAAAAAGGTGGGGGGTGGAAGAAACACCTAACGGATATTATTTTCTTTGCAAAAATTATAACCGAAATATGACTTGAATGGTTATCTAGAACCAAAAGGATGGGGTTGGATGCAGTAGGTTTTGCATATTTTGCGAAATGGGACAAGAACTCAAAAAACATTTCAGGTCTAATCCAACCATTTTTGGAACATTTGTAAAAAGCACCCAAAGGTCCGTTTTTTTGAAGAATTTTTGGCATTCTTTTCCGAGGACAAATAAGCATAGGGATATGTACTTCTCTGAAGCATTTATATATAAAACGCCTGTTACTTGCACAATACTAAATTTATAATCAAAATGCAAGTATTAATCAATATGTAATTTTATTACATTGACATAAAATACAATCAAAAATACATAGCAATCATGATAATAATAAAAATGAACATAGTGAATAAGTAATAACTAGTCGAGTATATTTAGCTGCTGTTAGTAACATCCTCCAGGCCCGGCAGAATGCACAGCTTAGTGACAGGTCTGGTATAATGACCCAACTTAGTTTTGACTTGAGCCATTCTAACGGTACCATCTTTCCCTGGATATACATTAGATACTCGTCCCAAAAGCCACTGGTTTCTAGGAAGTTTCTCATCCACAATTAGTACAAGATCATCCAATTTAAGAGGTCTCGTTTTTTCATGCCACTTTCGACGTTGTATTAGAGTCGGTCTGTATTCTTTGACCCATCTGCGCCAAAAAGAATTGGCTAAAATTTGCGCATTTCTCCATTGCTTTCGTGAAATTTTTTCACCTATTTCATAATTATTTACCTTTCCTGCACGGAGTAACAAGAAATGGTTTGGTGTTATAGCCTCAGGTTCTGAAGGATCAATGGAAATGTGCGTCAAAGGCCGAGAATTTAAAATGTACTCTATTTCTAATAATAAAGTCAAAAGAACTTCCTCTTTTGGATTTGCACATTTTAATGTTACCTTCAGGGCTTAACTGACCGAATCATTCTTTCCCATATACCTCCTTGATGGCTGGCCAGGGGACAATTGAATTTCCAGCGAATTCCTTTTCCCACAAGAAAATTGTTCACCTCAGTTTGATTTAAATTTTCAGACCATTCACGTAGTTCTCTTTCAGCCCCAACAAAATTCGTACCATTGTCGCTCCAAAATTCTTTAGACTCACCTCTTCTGCACATAAATCTTCTCATGGCCAGAATAGTTGAGCTCGTATCTAGACTAGCTGCCAATTCAATATGAACAGCTCTTACCGTGAGACAAGTAAAAAGCACCCCATATCTTTTTTCAATCCTCCTACCAATAGACACTGTTACGGGGCCAAAAAGATCAACTCCTACATAAGTGAATGGAGGAATAAAACTTTCCAATCTTTCGGTTGGCAAAGCTCCCATTTCAGGGGCTACTGGCGTGCATTTTTTAACTCTACAATCTTGTCAATTACTAAAACATCTTTTGACAGCTGGTCCTAATTTTAAAATCCAAAAGTTAGAACGAATATTATTAACTACTGTTTCAAATCCAATATGACCTGCTTCTTCATGAAATTTTTGAATTAATAAAACCATATATCTATGACTGGAGTCTAAAATAATTGGAAATTTTTCATTAAAATCAATATTTACATCTTGAATTCTACCCTGAAGCCTAATGATACCATAGGTCGCTGGTTCAGATCCGGCTCGAAGGACCAATGTTACTTGCACAATACTAAATTTATAATCAAAATGCAAGTATTAATCAATATGTAATTTTATTACATTGACATAAAATACAATCAAAAATACATAGCAATCATGATAATAATAAAAATGAACATAGTGAATAAGTAATAACTAGTCGAGTATATTAGCTGCTGTTAGTAACAACGCCAGTTATGGTTATTCCCCTTTCACTGGATATAGCACAGCCCACTTTTTTTTGCTCCCTTGGAACCATAAACATTTGGACATTTGGCTTGAATGGTTTTATTACCTGTTCCGTCCATGTTAAATATTCTATTTGGTTCAAATTTAAACTTCTGCATTAGAATAAAATAATTTTACAGCATATGTATTAAAGGATGAAATCATATTTAAGCTATTACCCTTGGGCTGTCTTAGTTTTACCTCAGGAACTCTTTTTAAGAACCCATAAAACCATGTCCTTCCAGCTACTCCCTTTTCTCGATTAAAGTTATGGGCAGTATTATATTATTTTGCATATCTAAATGCTAGCCTTCTTAACTCATCAGGTGTCAGCCCAAAAATAATTTTGCAAGTAGCAAAACATATTCGTTTAACCCATACCGAGTCGAGGTGGTTTCAGATCTTTTTCTAGCAGATTTTTTCTGAAGGTAGATTCTGGTATTTTAAAAGATTTTTCCACCTCCCTAATTTTTTTTCGAAAATCCGAGGAACGGACTCTTTAAAATATTCGGGTTAAAAATTAACGTCTAGATCTTAGATTGTTTTCGACGTTGCTTTGAGGGTTTGTAGAGTGAACCACATTAAATAATTTGGGGCCCAAGAGACGTCCGTAAAAAGCACATAGCGAGATAGCTAGTCAGTTTCGGTGAAACTAAATGGCTTTGCTTAAATTCATGTTCATTCCGTCAGTCTTTAAATATAAAATTATTGACTTCAAAGAAATGAAAGTACCACTCAAGTCGCCATTTTCATTACAAGTTTCTGTCACTCGAAGTGCGTTTATCTGTCATATGGCAAAATAGTGTTTATGTCTCTACTTTATTCTATCTCGATGGTTCGGAGGGACCTGGATGCGGCGTATTATCCCGTGCGCGGTATTCTTCCTACGTCTAGGGCCGACTAGAGGGGGGGGGCCCGGTAGCGCTATATAAGGGGGGCCCGACAACAGCATTTTTAGTTCTGCATGAGAAATTCGACCCAAGATGAGAGTAGGAAGTTAAGATTCGGCCGAGGACCTTTTTTTTTAGAAGAAGTAATTGAGGTAGGGAGAATTGCTTTTGAGACAAGGATTTTTTTTTTTTTTTTTGAAGAATTAATTGAAGTAGGGAGAATAGTTTTTTGTTTAGGAAAAATTCTATAATTCTATTTCAGTACAAGAAGAACAGTTTTTGGTTAAAGATTTTTTTATCACGGGGCCCGATCTAGAGAATTGTCCTGGGACCCGGCCTGGCTCTCAGCGGCCCTGCCTACGTCCCCTATTTTAGCAATTAATATAGTATCCGATATGTAAGGCGATGCCTAGTCTTTCCAAAACAGACTGTTTTATAACTAAATAAGGGCATAAGAGTGTTAAAAAGTAGGTAACCTTTTTATTATATGTATATCTGCATTGTAGCAGGTAGATACCTATATATATCGAAATGTTCATTACTGATGGTATTTATTATTTATTTAATACAAAATATTCTAAACCTCTAAACTGGAATAACACATTTATTAAAAGTTGTTAAAACCGGAGTAATTACTTATTTATTATATAAAAGGTGTTCACTGAAAAATGCTTTTAAAGCTTTAAATTATATTTAAAACTTATTGTAAATATAAGGTTAATTAGTTTTAAGTTAAATGAGTGTGTTAATAGTTTTATAAATATTGAGACCAAAATTGAAACAATGGTTAATGTAATTCTTATACCAATTAAAAATTATATAAAAAAAATTAACCACATATTTGGCTCTACCGAATGGTTACAAAACTAGTTTACTAGTCTATAATCCCAATTCAAATATAATAAGGGTATTTCTTTTATAGTTTTGTAACAATTCAGTACAGACAAGACAATAATCAAATTCTTATATTATATCTTTCATTTTACAATATGACATGATTAAAATTTAATTTAATTTTGTTGTCAAATTAAATTTAAATCGAAATTTTTGATTATTTTTCAATGTTGGGTACGGACATATTTTTAAATATATTTATATGTGAAACTGCTGACTGAAAATAAATTTTAATTACAAATATTTTATTTTGTTTTATTGTTATATATTAGTAATCAAAACCTTTTTTTGAAAATGGAGAAAACCAGGTCCTAATATGGCGTAATATATTGTATGATTTTGCCCCTATTACTGGAAGCCCATTGCAAATGTTGGTCGTTATCTGGTAACAAAATGAAATATGCCCTGGCGGCAGTGTTGCCAATTTAGCGATTTTGTAGCTAGATCTAGCGATTTCAGAAGTCTTGTTGCGACTTTGAATTCAAATTTGAGACGTGTCTCAATCCTAGCGTTTTCTCGCCAATATCTAGCTATTATCTGGTGACTTTTACATATCATGAATGATGATAATAATAATGAGCGTAGTAGTAGGTCATATTCTGGCATCAAAAAAGAGAAGATTAGTTAGTGGTTGCACAATCGAACATAAAAGTAAAAGACCTAAATTTTGAATTTTGACAATTTGACATTGTTGAGAGTTGTAAATTGTAAAATTTGAATTTGAAAATCCATAGCAACTAACTGATAGTCATTAAAACGATCATAACATTTTACATTCAATCTGGAATAAATACCTCTGTAAAAAAGTAAGTATATTTACCAACCACATGTAATGGTTATTTTAGGTATTTTTGTAGTGCCAAAATCTTACCCTCAAAAATACCGGAAAGAATGGGAGAAACTTAAAGATCTGGAGGGATGGTTAGAAAATAGTTCTCGTGATAATACAAAAGCAAACTGCAAATACTGCAAAGTTCTTCTTAACGCGAAGCTAGCTGATTTATATAAACATTCGAAAACTACTAAGCACATACAAAGTGCAAAGCCCTTTTCGACAAAACGACAACAAGTTTTGCCATTTGTACCGATCAGTGTTGTAACTAACCGACAAAGAAAAGAAGCACAATTGTGTCTCTATGCTGCTGTTCACACAAGCATAAATAGTGTAGATCATTTAAGTGATTTGCACAAGGAGTCCAGCGAAGGAATTAGTGTTCATCGAACCAAATGTACTCAAATTATTAAAAATATTATTGGCAAGCATTTTCAACAAATCCTAACACAAGATATTGGTACCAGTCCATACAGTATCATTATTGATGAGTCTACTGATATTTCAGTACTAAAAATATTGGGTATTGTTATCAGATATCAAAGTGATGACCTTAAGAAAACGGTATCCACATTTTTGGGACTTGTCAACATTGAAAATGGCACTGCGGCCTGTATTGTTTCAGCAATAAAGACATTATTGCAACAAGATTATGGTCTTGATTTGAAAAAATTACAAGGTATAGGTACTGATAATGCATCAACAATGGTGGGAATAAATAATGGTGTATTTGCCAAACTTAAAGAAGAAGTACCCCATTTAATTCTAGTTAGATGTGTATGCCATTCATTACAATTGGCACTATCTAAGGCAACAGAACATACATTACCGAGAAATACGGAATTCATAATTAAAGAAACATACAATTGGTTTGCTTCTTCTTCAATAAGGCAATTAGCATATCAAAATGTATATAAAACGCTTAATGATGGTAATATGCCATTACAGTTCCTTAAAATGTGTGAAACTAGATGGATTTCTATAGAACCTGCTGTTAAAAGAATAAAAGATCAATGGGAAACATTGAGGGATCATTTTAACATTGTTCGCTTAAGCGATAACTGCTATACTGCAGAGCTGTTACATTCAATGTACAATGATCCCAATAATTTAGTTTATTTAACATTTATATATCCTATTTTAAGCATTGTTCAAAAAACAAATAAGCAGTTTGAATCAGCTACGGCAGATCCAACAAAACTCTTATCCGATTTAAAAAATTTCTATGCCAGTATAGTAACTATGATAGTTAATCCTACAGCCAAAATAGACATTTATGATTTAAATGTTAATATTGATAATTATTTAGACCCTAATCCATATCTAGGATTTGTATTTGAAAATGCATGTCATATTAATGGTATCGGGATTGAAGACAAAGCTGTCTTAAAAGATAGATGTACAGCCTTTCTTATAAAGCTAGCAAAAGAGATGAGAAACAGACTTCCAGATAACCTAAAAACACTTGAAAAAATGAATTTTTTGTCAGTATTTAATGTCTTAAAATCAAATAAATTACCTATTACTGAATTGGCTTTAAAATTTACAAACAATGATTTTAATATAAATAATATTGAGATGCAGTGGGCGAATATACATACTATAGAATGGCAAGAAAAAAATAACACTGAAAAATTTTGGATAGAAGTTTCTATGTATAGAGATGCATCTGGGGAAAACCCTTTCCTCGATTTGGTTACACTAGCATTTAAAATTTTATGTTTGCCACATTCAAATGCTGACGTTGAAAGGGTTTTTAGCCAAATGAATATAGTTAAAGATAAATTGAGAAATCGAATGAAATTGGATCTCTTGAACAATATTCTCCACATTAGATTTGGACTTAGGCGTATAGGGAAATGCTGCAAGGATTACAATTTACCTGACGTAGTTTTGAGGCATATTGGCACAATGGCAGCGTATAGTGCTGAAGATGATAAAGAAAATATAGCTGATATAGAGAATATTCTTCTGTAAAATCATCATTTATTTTCTTGAGCGGGATTTGCCAAATATTTATTTTGTTACCATGCATGTCGTTTTGATTATTTATTAGTTATAGGTAGCTCAGGTACCGATAATTTAAGAGATATTGTTCTTTATCCTGTGATATTACTCAATTTATTTGCAGCTAGCTTATCTTTGAAGAAACATATTTTTATATTACAAAATGTACCTACGTGGATTTAATTAGGAAGAATTAATTTATTTATTTATTGAATAGAAATTATTTTGTTTTTAGAAGAGTTGTATTTTTGTTTTTTAGACATTTATTGAAAAATATGCACGTGTATTAAATATATATGTGTATTTAATAAATATACACGTTATATTTTTTTAAAAAGTTCCTTTATTTTGTACCTAACTTTATTATGAATAAAAAAAAAAAATAGGAGAACTTTCTTTTTTTTATCAAAGTGAATTTTTCGTAGTCACACGCAAAAGTCGCCAGATTTTCAAAAAAGTCGCCAAATTTTCAAAAAAATTCGCCTGCGGCGGGCCGTTTTCTCGCTGCGTCGTTTTTTTTTTTATTTGGTGATTTCTAGCGATTTTCAACTTGCAAAGTTGAGACTTTCATACGTCACCTATTGGCAACACTGGCTACTGTTATTTTTTTTTGACCTAATTGTCATTGTAAATATTTTTTATAGGATACTAAACGTTTAGAACAGTGGCAGCATATATATACCGGGTGTTTAACTTAAAGCGTTACAGCTATATACCGCTTTTTATAAAAAAAAACCGTTTCAGACGAAAGTTTTATAGGTTTGTGGGGAAAAAGTTTTGGCTAAAATCGTTTTTTATAGCTAACCATAATATGGCCAACTTTTTTTTCGCGCAGCAACATTTTCAAGTAGCTGTTACTCAAAAAGTAAAAGTCCAATAAAAAAAATATTTCCCTCAAAAGTTTCTTATTTTTTTATGTACTTTAAGAATATGTAAGAAAAAAATGGGATTCCCATTTAAAAAAACAAAGTCCACCTCGATATGGCCATATTATGGTCAGCTATAAAAAAATGAATTTAGCCAAAATGTTTCCCCCAAAAAACTATAAAACTTTTTTCTGATACTTTTTTTTCTAAAATGCATATTTTCGGCGGTATTTGACTGTAACACTTTAATTTGAACACCCGGTATATATAATAATAATAATAATAATAATAATAATAATAATAATAATAATTGTTTATTTTGAATTTACGGTGTACAATAGAATTACATCAATAAAAAAAAAATAATTACGCAAATACAAAAAGAGAACGTCCAGACAGTTAAAACTGATACAAAGTGGACGCCCTCGGTTATGGTTTTGTTCGCCAGTCGCCAACCCCGGATAGCCCCAAGAGTTAACAAAAGTATTAAAATATTAAAATCGTTTTAAGTACTTATATCCTCTCTACTTGAAGACTATCCGAAGACGGCGGCAAACGTAGAAACTAAACAAGGGTTTTTATACCTATAAGTTACAATGTTTGAATTGTAAGAGATAAAAATAAAAATATATAAAAAATATATATTTCACTCGCTCGACACACACCAGGGGGTCGATTCTCGACTCGTAGGAACCCCTTCCTATAGGAATTTTTGACACTTTTCTACACATCGGAAATTTATGACATTTGTCTACATGTAGGAAAGTGTCACAAATTCCTATAGGAAAAGGTTCCTACAAGTCGTTCCTAGTGCCGATAAAGCACCTTCTAGAGATTATGCTGTTCTATACTTTTTAGAAGATATTATCAAATAATATGAGACTATTTTTACTGATGGTACTGTTAGCAAAATAAAAAGGGGAAAGCTGAAATTAAAGGAAGAGGTAATACCATGTACATTTCCAAATCTCCCTTCATACTTGTATTACAACAATAAAAAAATCTGTGTTTTATTTTAATCTTAAAACTATATATTGGTTCAATTCAAAAAAAATTTGCCACAAAATTGTACTTATCAAATTTCAGCAATTAAGAAACCTTTTCGAATTTGGTCATACATACCTAATTTGTATTTTATATAGATTAAATTAAATAATTTATCAATTAAAAGGCTTATTTAGAAATAAATACAATAGTATGTTCTGTGCTTAATTTAGCTGTAAACAAGTTTAGTTTTATTATTTTGACAAAATTATGTATAATTCCCATAAGAAGCCATGTATTTTGAACAACGCATGCAGTACCAGCGCTCATGCGGTTAATTATAGAAGCTCAATTAGCATGCGTTTTTTGGGACCGTTTTTTGGGTATGCCGATTCGTTTCCTTATCTCTAGTCTTCATAGACGGATAGCTCCGTGGTGGTATATCTAGTCCTCATACGCGGTGGTTTTGTCATACAGAGTTGGATGGTCAGTTGATTGCCCGGGAAAGGAAGTCCTGCGGTTGTCGTTACTAAGGAACGGCAGCGTTTATTTTTATTTTTTATTTATTATTATTATTATTATTAAGATTTTTTTGATCGATGTTAAACCGGAATTAAGGTTTATGCTTACCCATGAATAAACATTTTGTTGGATGCAAGTTCTTTTAATATATAGAGGTAAAAGAATCCCTACCTCCTACATATATTGGTGACTCCGACATGATAACACATCCGATGTGGCATCGGCAGCAACTCGATCCCAGCGTCGTCAAGTGGCAGAGACGAGTGATCCGTTTCGCTTTTTGTATTATTTTGTGTTATCTCTGAACATTTTGAGGTGTCATTTTGATAACTGTTTTAAATCATGTCGGATAACGAATAAGAGACAGTGTCTAGTCTCGTAGAACATTTGAGCCACGTCAAATTGCCTCCCTTTTGGTCGACTAAACCAGAACTCTGGTTCAAGCAAATAGAAAGCCAATTATTTATTCATAAAATCGCATCAGACAAAAATAAATACTATTTAACTGTATCTAATTTACCTGTAGAAATTTTCAGCTAGGTTACAGATGTGAAAATAATAATCTGCCAAACTCTAATATGTACGTATTTATTAAAGGAAAACATAATCAATAGGTTAACTCTGTCTGAAGAAGCACGGCTAGATAAATTAATATCTAAATATGAGTTAGGGGATAAATGACCATCCAATTTTTAAAGGAAACTGTTATAAATTGTAGGTCCTCCATTTTACAGTACTTTAAACTAAAACATCCTGTAGCCCTGTGTATCTGAGTCTGAGGGTATGTTAATTATTAGATTCTGTTTCATCTAGACATTTATGAGCGACAGCATAGTTCATTTTTTATATTCGCGCAATTTGTTGGGATAATTTAGACTTTTGAGTACAACGTTATTTCGGACTTTATAATTTTAATAAATAAATAGGTATATACCTACCCATAATGTCAATATCAATTACAATAATGTGTTAGGGTAATGCTAACAGCAATTTTTAAAAAAAAAAATTTATATTGTCTACGTATATTCGCGTTGTTAGTAAAATTTTCCAGAAACTGATAGATTAACCTTAATTCCAAGCAACATTTCATGTCCCGTTTGTAATTTACAAGGCACATCGTTCTTTCATTTGCGTCCGCGGGCAGCAAGTGTGACGGACACGATGCACGAGCTTTTTCAAGCGCCCCGGATCAAACCAAACACACGTGGTTGCATCCGGGCGAAGCTTTTCAGTCATGCATGCCGTTTTGATACGGTATGCAAAGTCTGATAGACAGGGCGGGCAATACGCGCTACGACGAGGACACCTTTACAGACGACAGTCACTTAAAAGCACAGTAATTAGGCCGGTACGAAAATTTGTGACTTGCCGTCGTCCTACATACTGATATGCGTCTTCATGTGCATTGAGTCAAAATAACCTATTTTAACAGCTTGTTAGTATTGTCTGGCAAAAACTATCGTCTATCATACCAAAGTTGTTTGAATAGCCTATCGACCATTATTTACGTTGAAATTGTAAAAATTCAATTATAGTTTATTTAAAAATGGATGAAAGAAAAATTTTTATGACCTAGCAGATAAATCCCAATAAAACATAATAAATTAGTGACGGAGAATTTATAAAATATAATGTTTAGCATTATTTGTTCTAAAATAAAATATTAGGTTTTCTTTCTAAAATTTTCAAAAATACCATTTACAATTCAAGATCAATATAAGTTGCCCTCAACTTTCTTATAATCGAATTAAATTACGGGTTTTGAGCTTACATTAAATTGTAATTAGATAAAACAAAATGGATTCTATGTATTTTGAGGTGATCTTTTCGAAAAAAGGCAAAACAAAATGTAGCAGTTTTTCGAAAGTGCCGAAATTTTGGATTTTGTCAATTTTTCAATTTTGCGCAGGCGCATATCGAAAATAAATCAATATTTTTAAAACGCAGTTTACGACATTTGAAAGCTTAGGAAAAATGCTAATTTTTATGTCTCTTGAGAAATTTTGATCCGATGCACCGTTCTCGCAGTATGGACGATTGAAATTTGTTTAGTATTTTGAGGCGACGAAGGTCGAAAAATTGAATTTCATGTTCAAACACAAAATTCTTTATAACATTGGTAAAAATTAAAATATTTGAAAAAACAAAAATGCGTTTTGAACTTAAGGGATGTGACTAGTGATTCCCAGAAGGGGGCAAGAGAAATCCCAAATTTGGGCATATGGCGGAAGGGCAAAATGCACCGCGGTCCTAATTTCATTGTTTGCCTATAACGGCCAAACTATCTGAATTTTTTTAATGCCACTTACAAAGCTTACTCTTAAATGTGAAATCTTATGTGTGTGTGAATTTCACCAACATCGGACCATACTTGGCTAAGATATCAAACAATTAAATAATTTTTTTTTCGAAAGTTTGAAGTGGCACAAAAATGCACCCAATGGCTCAAAACTTTTTTTTGAGTACTCTATTGTGTCTAGAATACGACTACATTATGGAAAATTCTGCAAATATATTTTATCTATTTTTTTGACCACTGTTCATTGAGTGACGACCAAAAAACACGCTTTTTGAGAAAAGTTGCCTAAAATTGACAATTTTTAGTTTTTTTGTCTGAAAATTAAACAAACCCAAATTTCATGTCTTCTAAATGTGTATACAAAGTTTAAAGTGTGTATGTTTCTTCTAAGTTGTAGAATTCTCCCGACAAAAGTCCCATTACACGCGCTCCGCGGGATCCAAAACTCGTGTATACACTACATTACTGTAATTTGATTTTTTTGCGATTTCCAGTTTTAAATTTCTTGCATATCTAAATTTATTAAATTGTATTTTACTGAGTTGTTATAAGACGTTTCTTGAG